AACGCCTGCTTATAAACAAAAAATGTGTAATTTAGTCAATTGCTATAGCAAATACAACTTTGCTTCACCACCAATCCCACCACAGGTGATATGGAAAACAGCCTAGCTCTCTTTGACATTCATATGTTTTATTTAACCTAAGGGCACTTGTGGCAATGTTGCGTAGTCGTTAAAGTGTCAAGATAATACGCTGCACTGCCATAGTTCGAGTCCCGCTGGGGGTGTCGGTGAGACTGAGGTGAGGCAAAAACTGCAGTCCACTTTGGCCTGGATGAGAATAGCTTTTGGGAAGCAAGGCTATGTGAAATTTAATGGAACCGTGAGGTCTACTCGTATCATTGCGGTAAAATTCAACTACCAGTCCCTATATCACCTCAAACGAGGTATGATAAATACATTTAATGATGTACGGGTAATCTGGAAGACCTACTTATAAACGAAAAATAGGGCCACTGCATCTCTCGGGGACGGTCGAGTTGCAATCGGGTCGGTGCCAACAAGGCCGATCATGTGGCCCATGTACAAAGACACCAATCGTCCTGCCGGTGTCGAGTCAGCATCGTGCCGAGGCGGTAGTGCGACCAACTCGGCTTGGGCGCAAAATGGCGCAAGAGCAGTCGGCAAGGAAGTATCGAAAATGCGGAGAAACGAGTACAAACTGGGCTTTAGCAGTGAATTTCATATAAGTTTAAAGAGCTGGATAGTTTTTGGACTTGGTGTTAACTCGAAGCTTTTGAAAGAATGCGTTTCAGCTCTGATGATGATCGAAAGCTCTGCCAGGTTTCACGCGAAACGAGTAGAGGGGATGAATCTTAACGTTGGGCTAAAGCCAAACGGCTGCAGAACAACGCGAATCAGGCGTCGTCTTGCGGTAAGGTCGGCATGCCAATCTCTGCTTCATGTGACATGAAACACTCCAGAACAATTGTGGCATAACTTTCCATTTTGAAGGAAAAGTTGGTTGGGAGCAATTCACAAAATGGTCTTACCGGAAATCGGAATATGGTAAAAATATACTCTTAATTTAGTACATTTTTTCCCTATTTCGTGAAGTACGGATTCTTGCTCTGATGATGAATGCCATAGTTGTACAGACGAAAGCCTAGCACAGGTTAATCGGGCCTGCAGGACAGCGATCCAAGGACTTCTTCGCACAATCCAACACTCTTTACTCGGCAGCAATCCTTCGATTTCCGGTGATACCATTTCACGAATTTCTTCCAACCAACTTTTCCTTTGAAATACAACGTCATATCACAATATAGCACTAAGGAATTCTTCGAAACCCAATTTTGTTTCGTAACTTCAGAACCTTGCCAATTTAAGAGATTCGTCGATGTGTTCTTCAGGTAGACTTGGGCCTGACTGAGCCAGACAACAGGTAACCCCAAAAATGAAGACCTCACCGACTATCTCTTTGCCGACCAGACAGGGAAGAGTGACACTTGACAGAGAAGGCTTTTCTTTTCGGCCTTGCCGGACAAGGAAGGAGGCTAAATCGACATGTCTTTATAAAAACAGGGAGTCTGAGAACGGCCGGAACGCAAAACTTGGTTTC